TTAATATAAATTTTGTTTTATGATAGTGATAGTAATACTTATGGTGTAATAATATTTTTCCAACTCCTTCCTTGTGCTTATGAAGTCTATTTATTCTTTTTTCCTGCTACTTCTTGCTTTTTGAACTTTACCCTCAGGCAGTGCTGCCATTCCAAACTTACATGTTGCTTCTTATAAGCAATTCATGCTTCTGTGGTGTTATGGTTTACCTTCATATCTGTCTCTTGTTTGACTAAAAGTTGAGCTACTGGATGAATTTATTTCAAGATTTTAAGGAATTAAATGCATTATGCAGATGATATGACTTTGCTTGAACAAAATGATGAAGACTTTGAGCACTTGCTGAAGAAGATCATGAGTTAGACCTCAGCACGAAGAAAACAAAGTTCCTCACCACTAGACCAACAGGCAACATCCTGATAGACACAGAGAAGTTAGAAGTTGTCAATTATTTCATTTTTCTTGGAACCAAAATCAGCACTTATTGTAGAAGGCAGTCAAGAAATCAAAGATGTGTTGCATTAAGGAAATATACTTTCAAGGATTTCTAAAAGTTCTAAAGAGCAAGGCTCTTATTTAAAAATTAAAATATACTTGATTTGAGTTATGTTATTTTCATTTGTTTCCTATGCACCTAGAAATTGTGTGGTGGATAATAATGACAGAAGAAGAATCAATGCATTTGAACTGTAGTGTCGAAGAGGAGTATTGAATAGACCATGAACTACTAAAAGAATAAACAAATTTGCCTTTAAGGAAGTACAAGTTGAGTGTTCCTTATAGGCATGGATAATGAAATTATACCTCAAGTACTTAGGAGCAATTCTCAGGAGAAACCAGTAAATGGAGGGAGACATTATGCTGGGTATAGTGGAGGCTTAGTGAAAGAGAGAAAGATCAATTGACACCACAGTAGACTTGAGTATGAAAGATTATAAGGATGGTGCAGAAAGGTTCAGATCTGTGGTTCTAGAATCGTTATGAGTCACAGTTGACTTGCTGGCACCTAAAAAGGGCTATAGTCTTGGGCAATCCACCAGTCTCTATCATTTTGCTCCACATTTTTATTTAACTCTCTCTAGGAGCTCTTATTATGGTCCCTTTCAGAGTAGTTAGCAGTGTGTCAGGCACCATCTAATTC